CTTCAATACATTTGCATTGATTTCAGGAAAGAAGGGAGAGAGAGAGACAGAAACATCAGTGATGAGAATCATTCATGTGCCTCCTGCGTGCCAACTACTGGGGATGAAGGTGGCCACCAGGGCATGTGCCCTGACCAGGCATCATACTTTGATCTCCTAGGTATAGGTTGATGCTCAACCAACTGAGCACACCAGGCCCGGCAAATGTGAGCACATTCTGAGACTTTTTGCAAAAGCTTCCTATAGCAGTTGTATACCGCACATTCATTCCTTACGCCTTTACAACAGTGTGTTTCCCTTCCCTCTGGCCAATACTCTCTTCATTTTCTTTCATCTTTCCCAAACCGATGGATTTTAATTTTATTCCTATTTTTCTTATTCCACATTCTCATTATTGTTCACATGTGTTTATTACAAATATACTTGTTTGACGTTTGTATTTCTTTTTTTCCACATTGTTCCCTCATGTGCGTTACTTGTGGATGGGGTGGTGGATGCTGTTAGATATTGGACTTCAGAGAGAAGGAGAAGCAGCCCCTACAGGAACTGGTCTGACACACGAGGCCTCAGTGCTGTCGGGAGCTGGCCCGGAGCTCACAGCTGGGCCGGGTTCCTCTCCTTTTGGACACAAGTCACCTCCCAGAGCATCATACTCAGATATGGCCGCCCTGAGGTCCTGACAAGGGAGACAGAGCAACACCTACTCCCTGCATCTAAACACAGACACACACAGGGCCCCGCGCAGCTCCCAGAGGAACACACAGCTCCCTGCGCTGGCTCCTGGCAGCGAGGCTGCTTCTCCCCAGCAGTCCCTCCACCCTTGCTGCAGGCGGCCTTGTCCCTAGATGGTCACTGAGCTGCCCACCCATAGAACTGCCCCTCCTGACACCAACATCTAGAGGAGCCTGCTCCCCAGACCCTCCCAGAGGCCGCCCATCCAGAGCCCACACCCTAGATGTGTCGTCTCTCCCCCCTTCCCACTAAGATGCCCCATGGTCCCGGTGGGATGCCTTCTCCCTCCAGCAATGATGACGAACCCACCTCGCCTGCCCACAGGGAGCCTCCTGGGCTTTGGCTGAGGAACACTGATCCACGGGACCCTTTCTTTGTCAACGTCTTTCTGGGACTTTGAGTTTGATTCTGTGGCTGAGTTTCTATCTCTTGAGTGTGAGGTCGACATAGAAAAATTTATGTTTTCCTTCATGGTTTTTCATCTTTGGATCTTGGTTTGAGAAATTCTCGTTCTACAACATTAAAATTTCATATATAATTTCATCTGCAGGAGGACATTCCAAGGGCAAAGGGAAACAGAATTTGGGGGAAATTAAGGAAAGGAGCAACAGGTAAGGAATTCTAAGGTGCAATCTAAAGTTACACCTTCTGCTTTGTATTCTACTAAAGGCCTAGTGCACGGATTCCTGCGTGGGGGTGGGAGGTCTCCTTAGCTGGCCTGTGCTGTCTTGTAATCCTGGACCCTTCAGGGGATGTCTGACTGCCAGATTAGGCAGCCTGTGGGGATCAGGTCTAAACCAGCAGTTGGACAGCCCCCAAGGGATGTATCAGTGTGCCAAGTGGCAGGTGGCCAGGAAGGAGCCCAAGTTGGGGCCTGGCACCGTGCTGCTCTCACGCTCAACCTGGCCCATTGCTCCTGCTGCAGCTACGCAGTAGCGCTGCCACGGAGTTGGGAGACGCTCACGCTGGCGGCTGTGAGGGCCAGTAGTGAGCCTGGCTTCTGGCTGAGCAATGCTCCCCCTATGGGAGCACACTCACCACTAGGAGGCAGCTCCTGCATTGAGAGTCTGCTCCTGGTGGTCAGTGCGCAGCGACTGGTCAACCAGTCCTATCAGTCATTTGGTCACTAAGGCTTTTATATATATAGATAAATATGTGTGGGGCCTGCAGGGAGCTGCTATCTGTTGGCTTCAATACACATTTTCTCTTGTGGTTAAGCCCTGTGTGCCTGCTCATGTTCACCAGGTGAACAAACACAACACCAAGATGGACACAGGATGGTGCAGTGAGGAGCGTTTGTGAACCTTCACACTCAGCGTGTTAACTCACATTTGAGTTCATGCCTGTGCAACTCGGTGTTAGATGCGTATTAATTACACTCTCCTGGCAGCTGTGAATGAGGGTGTATCTGAGATCCACACACACAACTGAAGTCAGTGACACAGGAAGACACATGGCTTCCACGTGAAGACAACTGTCACCTCCATCCATCTATGAGTCACACGGTGCTCTGTGTGGACAGAGACTGGAAACTAACAGCACTTAGCCAGGCGCTGTCTCATGTGGCAGCTCCACGACCCCCACTGTGGCTGAATTAAAGGTCCATGACATGCAAGTCCCCCTGCTCAGCACAGGAGCCACGTGTCAAGGGCTCAGTGGCCACAGCAGCTGGTGGCTGCCACGTGGGAGAAACAGACCCAGAGCGAGTCCTCGCTCACAGAATGCCTGCTGGACAGACTGCTCTGCACGGTGTCTGGGCCTCAGGTCAGAGCACTTGGCCCATTTACATTAAAGGGCCTGGCCTGGCCCATGTGGCTCAGTGGGGTGAGTGGTGTCCTGGGCACTGGAAGGATTCAGGTGTGACCCCTGGTCAGGGCGCGTAGGGGAGCCAACCAATCAGGGATTCTCTCTCGCATCCACATTCCTCTCTTTCTCCCTCTCCCTTCCTCTCTCTCTCTAATAAACATTTTTTTAAAATTCAAAGGAATAACATAAAAGGGGCAAGATGGCTTCTCTTACAGACACGTCAGGTTTCTGTCTGGGATGTGAGCGCACAATCAGCTGGGGTGGAGAAACCACATGGGTGTCTGTGGGCCTGGTGTCTTCAGGCACAAACTGCTCCCTGTCCCAGAGGGGACACCCCTGTCCCTCCACCGCCGTCCCAGGCTGAGGACACTCCCTGTCGGATTTCCAGGGTGAGCTCTCTTCTAGAAGGTCCCAGGGGCATTGCTGTGAGCTCAGATTTGGGGGCAGGATCCTGCCTTACGAAGAGGGATTCTGGGAAGAGAAGAGAAGGGATAGGCAGCGACCAGTTGGAAAACCCCCTCAGGTTTATCCAGAACAGCCTTTCTCAAAGTGTGGTCTCTGGAACACTTGCATTAATTTCTTACCTGACTTTCATAAAAATGGAGGATAAAAAAACCTTCAAAGGGTGACCTGGGAAGTGCACAAAAAAAAACACTTCTGTTACATCCAAAGTATCATGTACCAAGGAAAATCATGTGTGTGAGCAGGGCTAGCATCTTTCTCATGGGATCCCATGTTTGCTTTTTAAATAAAATTGGTTTCAGAGAGTAATTGAGAGGGAGACAAAGACAGAAACATCCATGATGGGAGAGAACCATGCATAGGCTGCCTTCTGCACGCCCCCCAACTAGGGATTGAGCCTGCATCTCAGCTAGGGTCCTCACCTGGAATAGAACCCTGACCTCCTGGTTCATAGGTCAATGCTCAGGCATTGAGCCAGAACCGACCTGGCCCATGTTTATGTAACAGAATGAATGACACAGACACTGGGATTGCTGAGATTTGGTGAATTGGCTCACGATTTCTCAAACATGAACGTGAGCTTCTCCTTCAGGAAATATCACCTGGCAGGTGCCAACTGACAGTCCTGTTGTCTTGATACAATGTCAGCCCCCAAGGGAAAACCAGAATGTTGGAACAGGTGTGTCCCACCACATGAGCTAGACCGCTCCCCAGTGCTGACACGCTTTTCTAAGGGGCTCTGTGGGAACAGCAACACCTGTGAGCTTTGATGACGTGATTCAATGCATCAGCACGGAAAGGTCTCTAGGACTTAGAGACACAAGGCATCACTTTATATAACCTGCATGAGGACCAGAGCCACCCAGCAAGACAGCCCTGGGGACTGTGACAGGACAGAACAGGAAATATTCAATATTCCCAACCAGCGGAGCGCAGGGATTGAACATTGACCTATGAACCAGGAGGTCACAGCTCAACTTTTTGTCAGAGCATATGCCTGGGTTGTGGGCTCCATCCCCAGTTGGGGCATGAAGGAGGCAGCCAATCAATGATTCTCTCCCATCATTGATGTTTCTATATCTCCCTCCCTCTTCCTTCCTCTCCGCAATCAATAAAAATCTTTTAAAAAGCTCACAAATATAACAAACATCACAGAATCCATGGAAATAGCATTTTAAAAAATTAACTGTTTGACATGCTTTTTTTCCCCTATTTTTCTTTTGATGAAACACATATACTTTTCAAAGGAAATGATGTTGTTTTCCTCACTGGGGCTGTTTCAACCTCACCAGGGCCGTTTCAGCCTCACTGGGGCTGTTTCAACCTCACCGGGGCCGTTTCAGCCTCACTGGGGAGGTCCCAGCCCCACAGGGGCCATTCCAGCCTCACAGGGGCCGTCGCAGGCTCACGGGGGCCACCTCAACCCCACCGCGGCTGTTTCAACCTCACCAGGGCTGTCTCAGCCTCATCATTGATGTTTCTATCGCTCTCTCCCTCTTCCTTATTCTCTGAAATCGATATAAAATATGTTTTTTAAAAAACATGACTTCTGTTACCATCTCATAGGCAGTGAGCATGCGACACGAATTAATAACTGTCTCACCCTGTGTGATCCGTGAGGGTCACTATGATGACGTCACCACACACACAAGGTTCTCTGGGCGCCTGCCTGTGTGTGAGGCCGCACAGAGATGGTGACACCAAAACCTTGGAAAGTCCCTGAACAGCACAGCGCCCGGGCCAGGCCTCGCCGACAAGGTGACGGCGCCCCGCGCGGGAGGAGGGGCAGGACCGAGTCCCAGGGCCCAGGCCTGCGCTCAGGTCTCCGCAGGGGACAGAGTCTTGGGGGGCAGCTCCGTGTGGGGGACTCCCCAGCGCCCTGGTTTCACTTCTCCTCTCCCAACCTGTGTCGGCGCCTCCTTCATGGAGACTCGTGACGCGACCCCATTCCTCATTCCCATTGGCTGAGCGGTTTCCAGAGCAGCCAATCAGCGTCCCCGCGGCTCCCGGTTATAAGTCCTCCGCGGAAGCGCCCGGACTCAGATGGTCCCCCGACGCCGAGGATGCGGGTCATGAGGCCCCCCACCCTCCTCCTGCTGCTCTCGGGGGCGCTGGTCCTGACCCCCAGCTGGGCCGGTGAGTGCGGGGTCGGAGGGGGCGGCGGTGCGGGGAGCAGCGAGGGGACCTGGCGGGGGCGCGGGGCCGGGAAGGCGCGTGTCCAGCCCCGGCCCTGCCCCCCGTCCGCCCCCCAGGCCCCCACTCCATGAGGTATTTCTACACCAGCGTGTCCCGGCCCGGCCGCGGGAAGATTCACTTCCTCTCCGTCAGCTACGTGGACGACACGCAGTTCGTGCGGTTCGACAGCGACGCCCCGAATCCGAGGGCGGAGCCGCGGGCGCCGTGGATGCAGCAGCCGTGGGTGGAGGAGGAGGACCCGGAGTATTTCCACCGGAGCACGGAGATCTTCAAGGCAGCCCCACAGAATTTCAG